TTCCTCCCTTCCTCCCTTCCTCCCTTCCTCCCTTCCTCCCTTCCTCCCTTCCTCCCTTCCTCCCTTCCTCCCTTCCTCCCTTCCTCCCTTCCTCCCTTCCTCCCTTCCTCCCTTCCTCCCTTCCTCCCTTCCTCCCTTCCTCCCTTCCTCCCTTCCTCCCTTCCTCCCTTCCTCCCTTCCTCCCTTCCTCCCTTCCTCCCTTCCTCCCTTCCTCCCTTCCTCCCTTCCTCCCTTCCTCCCTTCCTCCCTTCCTCCCTTCCTCCCTTCCTCCCTTCCTCCCTTCCTCCCTTCCTCCCTTCCTCCCTTCCTCCCTTCCTCCCTTCCTCCCTTCCTCCCTTCCTCCCTTCCTCCCTTCCTCCCTTCCTCCCTTCCCCTCTTCCCCACTCCCTCTCTTCTCTCCACAGCCGCAGGTGAATGTACAAGTGCTGCCCAGCAGGAGAAGCCCGAGGTGAGTATGATTTTCCATCCTTTCGTTGCGCTTTAGCCTGGGGGAGCCCTGCCTGCCCTTCTCTCCCCAGAAAGTAAAGTTCGTTCTTTCTCCTGCCAGCTGTTTGCGTGACTACATGTTCAACAGGCGCCTTCCCCGCGGGGACAATAAACCCGAGGGACTGATTTTTGAGGAGGAGGAGGAGGCTGCCGGGCTGGTAACTGTATATTAACCCCGGAGCTTTTGTTTTAGCATCAGCCACCCCAGTTTGACGTCATCTTCGCTGGTAGCGGGAGGAGGTAGCACTTCGGTGGGAAATAACGCCGTCTCCTTTCCCCAGGGTTCTCCCCTCTCTTTCCCACGAGGGATCTCCATGCTCCTCGGCACTTTCTAAAGTTTTTTTTCAGGAGTCCGTAAGTCCTTGCCCGTAGCGGGAACCCTCTGCCGGTCGTAGGGGCCTCCTCCCGCCGCTTCAGCATTCCCACCCGTGCTCCCAAGCCGCGAGACCTGTCCCCGGTGCCTTCCCGGGTGGATGCCCCGGGCGAGCCGCGGGAGCCGAGCCGGGAGGAGAGGAAGCCCCGGCTCTGCTGGAGGAGTGCCGGCCCTGCCCGCCGCTTCCTCCGCGGGCTGGACCCCTCGAGGGGCAGCCCCGCTGCGGGACACGCAGCGCTCGCTGCTGCTGCGATGACTCTTCCCCTTGGTCGCTCTCCTTCCGTGGTTGCGAAAAGCACAATTGCAGGGACCTCCAAATTTTCAATATTTTTATTACACTTTTTTTTTTTGTTTGTTTTGTTATTTTTGGTCTCGAAATGAACGCTTTCCTACCCGATTTTCTGCGGGTGCAGCTGCCACCGCTCCTCATGATTTAGGTGTTATAACACCTTTATTTAATACAGCAGCCAAGCCAAAATATCCGATTTAATTTTATTCGCAGCCACTAATTTTGTTCTCCGGGGAGCATTACTCTAACCATCTGATTTAATTGGCAATTCGTAGAACTCGATCAGACCTAATATGAAGATTTTAAAGTATTGCTTTATGTTGGTTTAAATTGTTGGTTTAAAATGTTCTCCCTTTTTTTCCTGGCAGTTTTGTTTGGGGTTGCGATGGGGTTTGTTTTTTTCTGTAAATACCTTCCCTTTCCCCCCGCGAGGCAGCCCGCCACCAACAACACAGGACGGGTTACACCGATTTCCCCCATTCCCTTGTCTTTCAGCTCCGACTTCAATTAAAGGGCTGGGTTATCCTTTCCGTTCATGGTGGTTTAAAACTCTCTATTTTGGAAACAACCATGGGGATAAAAAGCAACCAAACAAAAAAAATTACAAGAAACAAACAAACAAAAAAATAACAACCCAAGAGTGGGTCAGTAATGAGTCAGTGAAACGCGGTGGTTTCTGTTCGGAGCCTCAGGCTTTCAGTAACATTGCAAGCGCCGGTGTTGAAGTTGGAACACACAACGTGTGGCATCTCCATCCCAAGGCTGTTTCCGTGGGCTCCTGCAGCACGGCCCCGCTCACTGTGACGGGCAGAGCCTGGGTGCAGGGTCCCAGAGCAGGGCACGCAAACACCCAGCGCCTGTTTCTGCTGTTCATCCACAACACCCCCTCGTCCAAAACACTTAGCCATGGGCTGGTTTTAAATGTTACACTAAGTATCAATCCGACATCGTAATAGCAGGGGTTTATTAAATAAAAACTTAAAAATTGCAAGAATATGTAACGCAACTCTAGGATTCAGTGAGTTCTGAGGACATTTGTCCAAATCTCCCACAATTTCAGAGGCGCTTGACGGTTTCCCACGCCCCGCTCCCCTCCGGCCGCCCCCAGGGCCGGCAGTAGCCCCGGCAGGAGCCCGGAGGCCGAGGGGGCTGGAGGCAAAGCCGCCGCTCCCGGGAAGCGCCGCTCCCCGCCGGGGTCGCTCCTGACCCGGAGCCGAGGCCTCTTCTCGGACTCGGCACCCTGCTCCGGGCTCAGGGAGACTCTGACTTTCCGCTTTCCAGGAGGGAAGTGCCTGCAGGGGCTGCTTCCAACCGGGACCCAACTGTTCCCGTGTTGCTCTTCTCTCAGGAGCTGCGCTAGAAAAGGAGAGCCCGGAATCACACTTCTCACCGGTTTGATATTTTAACAATAATAATTTCTTCCCTGACTGTATTTTCCTTTGAAAACTTTCACTGTGAACCCAGACACTGCTCACATTTCACAGATTTATTCAAACAAACCACCCCTGGGCTGTGAGTTCGCCCGGAGCAGCAGAGGCGCGGCCAGAACGTGCCGCGGGCTCGGGGCTCTCTCCAGCTCTGTCCCGGCCTGCCAGAGCCCTGCGCGAGTATGGACGGGAGGCAGCGGGGAGGTGGATGCTGCTCTCCCCCCACCCCTCCCTTTTTCCTCCCTTCTACTGCAATTCATTTCTGTTTGACGAGGCACAATAAAATCTTCTTGTACATCCCTGCTCCCGTGTCTTTCTGGGGGAGGGATGTTTGTTTTAGGCACGCACAGAGCAGCCGCGCTCCCGCTGCCCGGGCGGGACATGGGAAGAGAAATTCATTTCTCCAAACCCGGTGAAATGAGACTTTAAACCCCCGAGACTCGCTCCCAGCTTGGCTCTGGGAGCAACTCCCAGTGTCAAACCACGAGAGGAACTCAGGCTTGGACCCAGCTCCTCGCTTCCTCCCCGCAGGGGCAGCCAGGCTTGGCACCGGGCGCCCGGGGCGGCTCCAGGGAGCGGGGCGGGTGCCCTGCCCGGGCCGGGCACAGAGAGCCGCCGGTCTCCGGAGCCACCGAGGCTAAAGGGTGCTAGAGGGAACCCCCACCGCGGTCAGGGCAGCCCGCGCCCTCCAGACGTGTGAAAGTGGACGCTATTTCGTTAGAGGATGACCAGAGACTCCGCGTTTCGTTGCGCGGTGCCCCGGCTGCTGCTCAGTTATCCCCGCTGTGTTTGACTCCGGCAGCACCACTCGGCGCCCACGGCCCAGAGCTCACGGCTGGGTCAGCTCGCTAAAACACGGCAGGGGTTTAATATATTTATTCTGCAGAAGCACCGATTTCTCCAGTGTTTCTTTCTCTCCTCACTCCTCTTGATTCACCTAAAAGCTTCCCGTGTAGGGCTGCTCCGGTGCCCAAGTTAGAGAGGGCTG